ACACCGAGGGTTGTGATCCCGTTACCGGTCAGTAAAAAAGACAAAAAGGAAAAAAAAATATGCAAATCACAATAACAAATGAAGTAAAATACATTAACAGTCCAAGAAACAAGAACTGAAACAATATGCTTTATCCTGCATTGGCTTAATGGCAACAAAGTTCCATTCCTTTCCAGTCGTTTGTTTAAGTATAGGCATAACTTAATAGGTTAGCAAGTGATTTTATTCATTTGGCAGAACCATCCACTTACCAATGTTAAGGACTGATGTCACTCAAACATCTNTTATTCATTTGGCAGAACCATCCACTTACCAATGTTAAGGACTGATGTCACTCAAACATCTCAACACACTGATGTTTCCCTACCATGGTCTGTATCGGAGTTTGTGCTGATGTTTCGCTCCTCAGGTATTCCCGGCCACATTGAAAACTCTGTGATGACCTGTTCTGTCTGCTTTGCTCAGTGTTGTATCTCCAGTGCCGATTTAGAAATACTTCCCCCAAATCTTATAGGTCTTCAGTGAAAGATAAGTTCCGAAGGAATTTAAGAATAGTCATTCAGAGGCTGTAGAAGAATATAGTGAGGAGAATAGATTATGGGATTTTAAAGATGCAATAAAGAGAAAAATTTGATGAGAATATTTTGAAATTCATGTAAATCTGAATATTTACCTTTTGATTAAGCTACAAAGCTTAAATTATTCAAAATAGCTATTAATTTTAACTTTAGGCAAACAAAAAAAATTATTTCTGAAATAACTTTGCCTAAATACACAAATGAACCATAATGTCACTCAACTTTTATCAGGACGCAAGATAACTAGTATGTACACATTGCCACCTACTAAAGATCAAATGTCTCTATAATCCTGGGGAAAACACCCAGACATCAGCTGGCACTTAAAAGAATGGACGGCATAGTTTGTCATCACAAGTACATTGCTGCATTCTGTTCATTATGCCTTACTCTCTATTATTGAACACAACTGGATGATCTTTATTTCATTTACTTTAATCAGAGCACTCTTCTAAAACACTTCTAGTTAATATTTGGTTTGAATGAAGTACTTTATTAAAAATGCTGGATATTTCCACTAACAAAGCCTGAGTAGCTGAAAGGGAAATAATGGCACAAACATAAAATGGCATAATAAATCAAAGGACACCCTTTCCCTTCTAAACATTTCCAAGGATAGTTTTCATCTTAATAGAATTGCTATTCTGTCAACTGATCAACTGTAGATACACTCGTGACTTGTTTCAGTGGGAAGAGGGATGCCAAAAATAATGAGAAATAACCTTTCGAGTCTTGTCTAAAAGCATTTTTGTTTTGCTGCACATGCTTTAGATGCACTAAAAAGAAAAAAAAAAAAACAAAAAAAAACCAGACCTCTTCCCTTCCCCTAAGTAAAGTTTCAGTTGATTGAGAATACAAAGATTTAGCTGGTTCATATTTCTAAGTCACATGGAACAACAAATCATTGTGGTAAATATTATTTTCAGGATTCGCTTTAAATTGTGATAGTGGTAACAACACTTGATTAGAAATATCCAGCTCAATCAGGGACAGTAACGTGTCAGTGTCATCGCTATTTTACAGATTAGAAAACTATGTAATCTGAAGTAAGAGCAATCTTCATCTTGTATTGGCAATAATTACACACCTCATTATCACCTCTATCCTGCCTGCAAATGAGAGAGAGAGAGAGAGAGATTCTTCAGCACCATACATTTACTCTAGACTACCAGTTACACTTTCACAGATAAGAATTTTGAAATCCCTTCAGACATAAAGTGACAGTTACATGACAACGCTCACTTAACCTCTAATAAGTATAAAGAGTCTCTAAAGAAGACAAGACATCCAGGTTTTGCTGTATCACATCACCCAGAATAAAGCCTTTAATCAGGAAGATGGCACAACAAAGAGGTATTCCAATCAGTTTTGAAATTAGGTTTGCAGAAAGAGGCAGAGAAAATATCTGTATTGCTCAGCCTTTAGGTGGAGGTCCCTTTCTACTGACCTTACGTAAAATGCCTGTTTGGGGTAAATGGGTCTCCCCTGGCATTCTAGACTCTCAAGGATCGCTGAATATACTCTTACATTAGAACCTCTCAGCTGAAATTATCTGCCTAAGCTTCTTTAGGTGGAAACCAAGTTTTATTCATGGTAGAACTACAGAATCCTAGCACATCGTTAGCATTCCATAAATCCTTGTTGAATTCCTGTGGAGGTGCACGTTTCAGTTCATCAACCATCAAACTTCAAGCTCCTCCCAAGGAGAGTCTAAGCCATATTTTTGTTCTCTTTCTAATCAAGGAGTGTACACATGAAAGCTAAGACCCCTAATATTTCAAAGGGAAATAGCTGACTCATCCACAAATCCTTACAGGTTGGAGCACATGCATTTGCACTCGATGGTGGTCCTTTCAATAAGGGGAAATCATTTAGAAGTTGAATCCAGTATTTCATTTGTGTATGTATCCTTGTGCTGTTCAAGGGCAATAAGAAATATTCTTAACTTCAGTTTGGGTAGAGCACAAGGACATGTTTTAAATTCCTTTATTTTAAGTCATTTGTCATTATTTTAATCTGAACTAAAAAAGTATTATCTTAAGAAAAAATCAGAGAAAATAATGTCTTTAATATACATGTCAGAGATCGAATAAGTGCATATACAACACACACTCACACATACCCTAAACTATCCTCAAAATGCTTCCTACAATCTTTATTTCTATAAGTTTGAGAAAAATAGTTGTGACAGTCTTTTTTGTGACTCAGGAAGAACATAATAGAATGAATGAAACAAGACGGTCCAAGCAGGTCTCTACTTTTCATTTACGTCTCTTACTGTTGGTTTCCTTATACTTTCAGGACATTTCACTTACGTTCTAATCTTTTGATGCCATAATTTGCATAGGTATTGCTACATTCAGCCTCTCAGATTTCATCACTGCATTTTACATAATACAAATACAAAAAACTTTCCTTCGTGTGGGGTTGAATAAGTGTGAGAAATAGAAGTGAAAAGCTAGAGAGAACTATTCACTTTCTAAAATATAGAAGCACAATTAATCCCTCTATTCTAGAAAAGATGTTGGAAGTTAAATGATATAATAGTAAAAAATTGTTTACAAATATGAGGGCATTCCAAAAGTTAGTGGAAAAATAGAATTAAAAGGCAATATGAGTCTTTCCACAAACTTTTTTACAACAAGAACTAAAACCATTATAAATGAGATCACATCATTTGTTTTTACAGTAATGCATATGTATCTCATTATTTAAAACAGTGGGTGGGTAATATAATCCTATATCAGTATAATTTTAATATTTTTCATACTTATTTATTTTTCTTTTATAATACAACAAAATGACTTTTAATATTTACTGAAGCACAACTAATCTATTTTGGAACAAAGCAGGTTTATGTTAGTTAATTAAATATTACCTTTATTATAAAAGTAAAAATAACATTCACTAAAAAATTTTTTAAAAACTGTAGAAAGAAAAATCATTATATACAATCCATCTATTCAAATGCAATGCTACATAATGATATTGTGAATTATTTCTGTTTAATATAACCCTGTCAATGTTACAGTACTAGGTATTTTTTTATTGTTACAAATTTGTTGGGTAAAATAACATTATTGTTTTAAACTATATATACATATACATATAAAGTATGTAAAATGTTATAAAATAGTGTTATAAATATATTATAAAATATAAAATATTATTTTTGTTGTAAACTATATATATATGCATATATTTTCAAATAATATACAACATAATATGTAATATTTTTAGATAATATATATTAGGACCTAATAAGTGTTCATGTTTGGTGATCACCTATTAGGATTTTAGCATATTTCATATTGATTTTTATGCATTTATTAAATATTAAAATTAAATAATATTTGCCATATTTCCTGGAAATATTCCNCCTTACGTAAAATGCCTGTTTGGGGTAAATGGGTCTCCCCTGGCATTCTAGACTCTCAAGGATCGCTGAATATACTCTTACATTAGAACCTCTCAGCTGAAATTATCTGCCTAAGCTTCTTTAGGTGGAAACCAAGTTTTATTCATGGTAGAACTACAGAATCCTAGCACATCGTTAGCATTCCATAAATCCTTGTTGAATTCCTGTGGAGGTGCACGTTTCAGTTCATCAACCATCAAACTTCAAGCTCCTCCCAAGGAGAGTCTAAGCCATATTTTTGTTCTCTTTCTAATCAAGGAGTGTACACATGAAAGCTAAGACCCCTAATATTTCAAAGGGAAATAGCTGACTCATCCACAAATCCTTACAGGTTGGAGCACATGCATTTGCACTCGATGGTGGTCCTTTCAATAAGGGGAAATCATTTAGAAGTTGAATCCAGTATTTCATTTGTGTATGTATCCTTGTGCTGTTCAAGGGCAATAAGAAATATTCTTAACTTCAGTTTGGGTAGAGCACAAGGACATGTTTTAAATTCCTTTATTTTAAGTCATTTGTCATTATTTTAATCTGAACTAAAAAAGTATTATCTTAAGAAAAAATCAGAGAAAATAATGTCTTTAATATACATGTCAGAGATCGAATAAGTGCATATACAACACACACTCACACATACCCTAAACTATCCTCAAAATGCTTCCTACAATCTTTATTTCTATAAGTTTGAGAAAAATAGTTGTGACAGTCTTTTTTGTGACTCAGGAAGAACATAATAGAATGAATGAAACAAGACGGTCCAAGCAGGTCTCTACTTTTCATTTACGTCTCTTACTGTTGGTTTCCTTATACTTTCAGGACATTTCACTTACGTTCTAATCTTTTGATGCCATAATTTGCATAGGTATTGCTACATTCAGCCTCTCAGATTTCATCACTGCATTTTACATAATACAAATACAAAAAACTTTCCTTCGTGTGGGGTTGAATAAGTGTGAGAAATAGAAGTGAAAAGCTAGAGAGAACTATTCACTTTCTAAAATATAGAAGCACAATTAATCCCTCTATTCTAGAAAAGATGTTGGAAGTTAAATGATATAATAGTAAAAAATTGTTTACAAATATGAGGGCATTCCAAAAGTTAGTGGAAAAATAGAATTAAAAGGCAATATGAGTCTTTCCACAAACTTTTTTACAACAAGAACTAAAACCATTATAAATGAGATCACATCATTTGTTTTTACAGTAATGCATATGTATCTCATTATTTAAAACAGTGGGTGGGTAATATAATCCTATATCAGTATAATTTTAATATTTTTCATACTTATTTATTTTTCTTTTATAATACAACAAAATGACTTTTAATATTTACTGAAGCACAACTAATCTATTTTGGAACAAAGCAGGTTTATGTTAGTTAATTAAATATTACCTTTATTATAAAAGTAAAAATAACATTCACTAAAAAATTTTTTAAAAACTGTAGAAAGAAAAATCATTATATACAATTCATCTATTCAAATGCAATGCTACATAATGATATTGTGAATTATTTCTGTTTAATATAACCCTGTCAATGTTACAGTACTAGGTATTTTTTTATTGTTAC